CTTGCACCCATTCAGCAACTTAAGCCAATTCTGTTTCAGAAAAAGGATTCTTACTGTTTATGTGTAAATACCAAGTCTGACAGGCCCAGTCTTTGTCAGACCCCTATTTTGGTCAGAATCATTATTTTCCCTGCAGTGGCTCTCAAGGCTATGTCTATGTACAGTATTTAAACATCCTTTCCCTGTTCTTTCCCCCAGTCTGAGGATTATTTCCAAATTCTGAAGCTTCCTTCCCAAGGGGAGAAGGACGTATTTGGGGACCCTTTTCCCCTCTTCTACGGAGCTCCTATTCCCCATCCCTCCAAAATGCTGCCGTGAACTCCCCAGCTCACAGGTTACCACACTCTGATTCTCACATCTAGGGCCAATCCTTCTGGAGCACCTTGCTCTGATTCCTGGATTAATAGGGGTGTACTGCTGGCACTTCAAGTGCACAGGGTACCGCACACCAACAGCTCCCTGCCGAGACTCACCCAAGTCTCCACTGACCCCCAAGGCAAGAATCAAACTCCCTTACCTTGGTCCATGCACAAAGTTAACAGGTCTCCAGGGGTCAATACACGTTCCTACCTGCCCCTTGGCTTTCTCAGAGCTTGTCCGTTATGTAACATTCTCTGTTTCTTATCAGCCATCCCAAGGAGTCACCTCACCACCCAGACAGGACCGCTGCTATCAGTGGGGTGCACCTATCCTGTCCAGGGCAGTGGAGGAAACCCCTGAGGGGCAATAATTATCCCAGACGAGCCCCCAAACTGTAGGAAATATCCAAATAGTTTTCTAGGACGGTATCTCTGATGATGTAGCAGATTTTATTCGCAATTGCAATGGCAGGCCTCCTGCAAGCAGGAGAGCACACAGAAAACAGAGTTACCTCTTTTATTCCCTATTCCCCGATGCTTCTCTCTTACTCCCCTGGTTCCTCATCTGCTGAGTACTTCAGGTTCACAATCTTCTCAATGCTTCACTCAACATGGAAACACTGGACAAACATTGATTCTGTGGAGAAGGACCTGGGGGTCTTGGTAGACG